TTTCTTCCTCCACCTCGTAACTGCAGAGCTTTCTATCCATTTCTAAACCAGTTATCCAGTTGTTGCCTATCCTATCCTCTGGGAGAAGAAAGGTGTTTTCAGCTTGATGCCTTGAGTCACAAGAGCAACTTTATCCTCTGTCCTAATGTTAAAAGCGACAGTATTCTTAAATTTCTAATCCACTTTGTTTTTGCGACTTACCTTATTGTCAGGACTCCATAGCTCACCTGATCTGGAATTGTCCTGTTCTGGCTGCGCATTGTCAGTACAGCTACAGCTTCTCTGTAGCAGTAATTGCCCATCTCAGCTGCTATGAAGAGTTGGCTATACACAGTGAAAACCTCCTCTGTAACAAGAGCGCCAAGATGTTTATAAATTAATATGGACATTATTCTTCAAAAAGAGTAAGGATTTTTAAAAACCTACATAAATAGAGCTGCCATGTAAACCAGCAATTCACAGTTCTTTCTGCTCACATAGTCCTCAATTCAATGAGAAAGTGCCCCAGGCTTTCCTGTCTGAGGGACATGTGCATGCTCACATACACACCTGCAAATGCAGCTTCAGTTCTCTGTAACCTTCATAGGGTCAGTGGACTCTAGCAAAGGACCCTTAGTAAGGAAAAGTTCCATAGTCCCTAAGATTCTTGCCCGTGGCTAATCATTGGAACTTGTTAGTATGTTTCCTTCTCTGACAACAGAGGATTAAGATTGTAGGGGCAATTCAGTTTGAATCAAGCTGACCTTGTTGAATTAACTGGATGAATACCATTAAAGGCTACTACCTAGCTGATCAGAATCCTGTGCCCTTTAAATCTGTCTGGACTTGGTATAGTCACATTCATTCTCACCAGCAGAACCCTCCCTGGCTCTGCTCACAGGGTGGTGTGACCCTGAGAGAAGTGTTACAGGAAGACAAGGACTGTGTTCTGCATCTGGGAGTTGGAGAAGTATGGAAATGAATTGTCCCCTAGAGCCTCAGAAACGGAACATAACTCTGCCAGCACTTTGATTTTAACCCAGTGAGACCCATGTCAGACATACCTACAGAAATGTAAGGTCAGGAGTTTATGTTGTTTCAAGCCAATAATACCATGGTAACTTGTTATACAGCAATCAGAATGTAATCCACTACCTCCATTCCATACTTATAATTCAGTACAAATGTGACAGCACATACATTCCTGAAATCTTAATAATTCAGTTGGGCTAAATACAAATTTATGTCTTACAACCTAATTTCAATAAAATAGTAAAATTGTCTACTAAAATAGCAATTTGAAGTCATGTCTTTTTAAGAAGTAATAATAAAGGGTAGGATGTAAAATTCATGTGAAGGGGAAAATGGCTTTTCTCCTTTCAAGAATCTGGTTTTAAATTGTGGGATATGTCAGAAAATCTAATGACCTATTTATCCAGTATCTTTGGTTGCAAAGGCGGAATTCTCAAAGGATTTATAAAACTGATTCTTTAAATGTATATAAAATGTGAGCTTTGTGATGTCAGAAAGAGTAGTCATATAAACAACTGAAAAGAGCCATTACCCGGCACCATTTCTCCATGGCTTCAGAAATCACAGTGTAAGAGGAAGGGGAGTTCTTGGTTGACCCAGTTGCTCTACTCTTTATTCTCTTTGAGTCCATATTAGAGTTCCTGTCTCTTAAGACAATGAACAGATATTTCTGGAGATTTAGAAGCTAGTAAATTGTAACCCTCATCTTGTTTCTAATGGAAATAAATACATAACATTTCTTTTGGATTTATCTTAAGGATCAGTATTTTCTTCTCTTCATTGATAGTTTTTTCAAACAATTTAAAAACCCGATAACCTTAACAAAGCAGCTTTCAGTGTTACTGACTGCAGTCAGCAAAGCTTCAATGGCACCATTTGTTCATGTGCACCATCTATCATAGTTTCCAAAGATGTCTATCTGTCTTCATTAGAAATGGTTTGCATACAGTTGCTTTAAGTGGGGGGAGGGCATGTGAATGTAAGTTGAGATATACCTGTTGTATGAGGAAAAGAAGGGGTTAAATGCACATAGTTTTTAAATGCTATCACCTCTCATATCCCTGGGAGATACTCTTCAATGTATACCTGAGTGTGTTTATATCTCAGATGCATAGTAATGGGAACATAATAGGTACTTCAGATATCCATGGAATCAAAATGTACTCTCCTTTGAACGTAGGTCATTTTGTTCCTCTTTGATTCCCATCTGTCTTAGGGTTTCTATTGCTGCAATGAAGCACCATGACCAAAAGGCAAGTTGAGGAGGAAAGGGCATATTTGGCCTACACTTCCACATTGTAGTCCATCATTGAAGAAAACCAGGACAGGAACTCAAACAGGCAGGAACCTGGAGGCAGGCGCTGATGCAGAAGCTGTGGAAGGGTGCTGCTTGTTGTCTTGCTTACCATGGTTTGCTCAGCGTACTTTATTGTAGAACCCACAACCGGTGCCCGGGGTGGTCCCACCCACAATGAACCCTCCCACATCCATCACTAATTAAGAAAATGTCCTACAGGCCTTCCTGTAGCCTAATCTTATTGAGGCATTTTCTCAATTGAGGCTCCCGCCTCTCCAGTGACTAGCTTGTATCAAGTTGATATAAAACTAGCCAGCACACCATCAAAGAAAAAAATTACACTATTATCAACAATGTATAGCAAATGAATTCTAGTAGTCTATTTATATTTGGAATTTCCTTTCTATGTTTTTGAGATCAGCTCTTTTTATGTTGTCCAGACAGACCTTGACCAAACAGTCCTGCTTCAACTTCTCGAGTATCTGGGAGTACAGGCGTGCCCGACAGCGCCTGGCTTGAGCAGTTGTCAAGTTGACTGTTGTGTGATTATAGGTAGCATCACTTTGTGTGCATGCTAATGACGTTACCCTGCTTTGTTCTGCTGGCACTAGTTAGAAGTCTTATATTTGCCATTTCTCTCCTACCATCTCTCCTTCCAGTAGGTCTTAGGATATTTCCTTATCTGTAATCTAGAGGAAGACATTTGTTTTTATTGTTCCTAGTAAAGACACTCTCCTTTTTTAGTTTGAAGTTTTTATTATCCTAGTTTATCAACTATTATTGCAGATCTGTTTGCTGTCTAACCCATCTGTTGTTTCTATTTTATTTTAAATTTATTTCTTAAAGTTTGTATTTGGCCCTATCTCAAGTGTGTTTATACAATGCCTTGCTGGGTTTTTCCCTTTCTTTCTTTCTTTCTTTCTTTCTTTCTTTCTTTCTTTCTTCCTTCCTTCCTTCCTTCCTTCCTTCCTTTCTTTCTTTCTTTCTTTCTTTCTTTCTTTCTTATCTTCCCTGGTAAGGTCATTGAAAGTATCCTTCAGATTTCCTGATTCCCTGTTGTCCCACAATAGAGTTCTCATCCTGGTTGCATCTGTGGCTTAACAGTGGCAGAGTTTTAGTGTTCTTTGACTTTCTGAATTCTTTTTCCCACTGAATCACAAGCCACCTTTTGATTATGGAAACCTTCCTGTACTGTTTTGGCATTTGCACTTCATTGGAATCTGGTTTTCACCAGTTCTTCACCAATTTTCTAATGTTGATTTTCAGGATAGCTTTTCATATCAGCAGGATGTATAAAACCGGATTCTCCAATTGTCACCAGCCAGCCATTGCTTTGTCTCTAGTGGTTGTTTCTGTCTAGAGTAAGAAGGTAGTCCCCTTCTGTTGCTCTGTATACCAGTTTAGCCTTGTCTATATTTTGTAAATCAGCTATCCTTCTTGTGTGGAGGGGAGGTCTGGGTATGGAGCTAAGCTTTTGCTCCTGAGCTGCATCTCCAGCATTGCTGCAGCCGCTGCTCCTGCTGTTGCTGCTCCGTGTGTCTCTAGTCTGCAGGTGGGTGTGTGCATGTGCACAGATGTGTCTCTTCTTCCTTGGGACAGTGAGCCTCAGGATCCTCCTGCCTCTCCCGCAGCATCAGGATCACAAGTGTGCACCACCACACCCAGCATCTATGAGTTCTAAGGTTAAACTCAGATTGGAATTCCATTATTAGTAGAAGTGTTAAAACTTTGGTGTACATATGTGCCAATGTGCTAGTGCCACAGTGGTCACAGGGCCATTTTCAGAAGTTGGTTCTCTCCCTCCACATGTTTCTGGGAATCAAACTTAGGTTGTCAGACTTTGCAGCAAGCCTCTTCCCACTAAGCCACCTAGCCAGCCAAATACAGATCTCCACGCTTGTGCATTAAGCATTGAGCCAATGAAACTACCTTCCACATGTTTGTTGTTTAATTTCAGGGAACTGAGTCCTTTCCATCCCCCAGATCTATACAGGCCCTGCAGGCCATGTTGTAGATACTAACCCGTGGCCTGCTGGGCTCCCACTCATTGCTATATCATTTCTTTGGTTTTGGAACCTATAAAGTTTGATTTTCTTACTTTTGAACTTAAATATGTTTCTGTTGTTGTGGATTTGTTCTGTTACTTTTATTTTTGGAATGGAATAGAACTTGCCATCCTGCTACACTCATTGAGATTAGAAGCATATAATATTTTTTCCTGACCCACTATTTTAGGCCTCAGAGGAAACGTCTCTTCCTCTTGAGTGATCTACAGTCCTGTTTGATTTCGTGAGATTGGGTCTCATTAGCTCAGGCTGGCCTGGTAGTCCCTGTGTTCTTCAGAATGATCTTGGAGGCCTTATCTCCCTACCTCTGCCTCCAAATTGCTGAGATTACAGGTGTGGACAATCACACCTTGCCTAGACAGACCAATTCTGAACCTTCATTCATTTAATCATTGATTATTATCTTTAGAATAGTAGCTATCAGCCCATATGTCAGTAAGTGCATCCACAGCCTTGACAATAGACAATACATTTTTGCATATCTGTCCTTTAAAGGTGTAGGCTAACATCCTCCAATAGTTGCTTCAGTTGAATAGTGTGATCTGCTTTACTATAAAGAGTATCTGGGGAAAAGTGTGTGTTCTTTGTCTTATTGATCAGGCTTAGTTTTTACTTCCCTTTTACAGACATACAGAGATAAGATGGACGCACACACAGTAACAGAGAAAGATCAGCCACCAAGTGAAGGGAGCATTTCCTCTCCTCTGTGCGTATCCCACCCTGTAAGCCAGAAAAAGAAAGATGTCTACCGTACTAATCAGACTACCTTCATCATTGGAGAAACACCAAAAGGAATTCGCAGGTAGGTTGTCTGTGGTAACTCTAGACTTCTGGCCAACTCTCCGAAGAAGTATAACTTCTTAACAAAATATATAATGTATAACCGTACTTCACATCCGAATTTCAGAAAATCAGAACTTTTCTATTTAAAAAACACAAACAATGCTTTTGAGACAGGAGCTCACTAAGTAGCTCAGACTGGCATGAAATTTGATGTATATAGTTCAGGCTGGTGTTAGAAGTCTCATGCCCTAATTTCTAAGTTCTGGGATTGCAGAGATGTGGGGTGGACTAACATGGAAATGAGGCGATCTCCAGGGTCAGGTGAAGAAATGAGTAAGCCAGGATCTCAGTGGGATCTCCACAGACAGGTTTTAATGTTACCAAGAATGGCATCAAGAAGTGGTGAGATGGACCCATAAGCCTGGTCCACATGGCCTCTGGACAGTAGAGGTGATACCGGCTCTTGCTTGGAGTTGGTGTCTGAGCTGCCCGGAGAGGAGCGGCAAGCCCCACAGTAACCCAGAGAGCTGGCGTGAGGCAGCACCTCGTCCTTCCTGGCAGGCTTGCAACGGTGATTTCTGCAGGGCGCACATTTTCACTGTGGTCAGTTATTCTTCTAGAAGACTGACTCTACTTCCCCAGTCATTAAAGAAACGTGGGTCGTGGTCCCTATAGCAGTGTATGTTCTTCTAGTTGGTTGTTTTTTACTCTTTACTCTTTGTCTTTTGTGGGGCCTGCCACTCAGCTCCCAAATAAAGCACACATAGAGACTCATTCTTAACTTATGAATGCCCGGCTGTAGCTTGGCTCATTTCTAGCCAGATTTTCTTAAATTATCCCATCAATGTTTTGCCTCTGGGCTTTTACCTTTTCTTACTTCTGTTTATCTTACTTTCACTCTTACTGTGTGGCTGACCCCTGGAGTCCTCCTCCTTCTCTTGCTCCTAGATCATCTTCTCCCAAATTTCTCCTCTTCTTTCATTCTCTCAGTCTGCCAGCCCCGCCTGTCCTTTCTCCTGCCTTGCTATTGGCTGTTCAGGTCTTTATTAGACCAATCAGGTGTTTTAGACAGGCAAAGTGATATAGCTTTACAGAATTAAATGCAACATAAAAGAATGCAACACATCTTTGCATTATTAAACAAATGTTCCACAGCATAAAAAATTGTAACACAAATTAACATTCCACAATATCTTCTTGCTTCCTTTTGTTGTTTACCCAGCTCAGAGAGGAAATGTCTTGTGCTGGATAAAAAGGAAAAGAGAAATATTAAAATGCCAAGACCTGCCTGGTCACCCCAGCCCTTCCTGCTGTCGTCATAGTCAGCCAGAATCAAGGCAGTATCTTGTAGCAGCTGCATGATGGACTTCCTTGGGCTTTCAGCACATCTAGCCCTTGTAAAGCAAAAGCAGTGACATGCTGATGTCAGATGTGGCTCAGCTCCTTCCCAAGAGGAGAAATGCTTTGAACTTTAACCCTCATAACTGCTGATAGACGTGCTAATAGATTTCTAACTTGGTTTTTCGTTTTCTCTTTTCCTAAAGCTACTCTACTAATTTTTTTTTCTCACAAAAGTGGTTAGCTTTTGCTCCTTGCATTTTCCTGAATTCTTAGAGAAAATTCTGTTGCAGTCCCAGAATCAGGAAAATGATTTGGAAGGCAAAAAAAAAAACTGTCATTCTGTGCAGTCATGGGCATAATTCATTCAAAGGTTCCTTGGGCTAAATAGTGTAGAAGCAGCACTCCTCCCAGGGGTGGCCTGTCCCCCTAGGTCACAGGTGAGACCATACATCGTCTCAGCACAGCAGTGATAGAGTTACTGTGACATCTGCCGAGACATCGCCAAGTCTTGGATAAGTAAAAGGCATCACTTAAAACCTTCTTGGTCACTAAATCTTTATAAATAAGCAAAAACATTTATTAGGTCATGGAAGTGGATTTGGAAATGAGAAATAGGCAGAATAATAATATTCTATTACTTCATTTGACCTGAAAAATGGAACTGTTTAAGAACATGCTTGTGTGTGCCAACAAGAATATTAGCCATTTCCAGGACAGAAATTGGGGAATGTTTACTTGTGGGATGAAATACACTGTGGTAGGTAGGTTTGACTGTTGATCAGGTGTGGAATCCCTGAATTTGGAACATGTGATAAGACACTAGTGAGCCCCAGAATCCATGGCAATCATCTTAGACCACCACTGCAACCATAAGAGACTAACTTGGCCTGGGAGGCAGAAACAAATGAACAGGAAACCACAAAAAGCAGTAGTATTTAATGCTTCTATTTGCATACATTTAAAAAAAAACAACATTGTTTTACCCTAAGAATGTTGTATGTATGATAAAATTCAGCCTTCTCACCTGGCCATGCAGACCCATGATTGCTGGCCACTTCAGGATTTTCATCTGTTCTGATGTGTTCTAGGTCCTCTAAGGACTGGCTTGAAGTGTCCCTGGCTCATCCTTACCTTCAGATAGAGGTGACAGCAAAAAACCCTGTGTCCCATTCCGTCCCCCCCCCACCTCTGTGCGCACCCTCCTTGCCTACCAACAAGCACCTGGATACCCACTGTGAGTGGCAATAGAGCTGAGTTTACCCTTTCACTCGGCCTTGCTTGTTTTGCTTTGACTACCTTAGCTAGACTGAGCTTCATGAAGCAGGGGACTGGGTCTTTTTTGCTATCGTATAATCTCTACAGTGCACATTATGTATATGTGCACTTAGCACATAACAGGGCTCTGTAAAAACTAGTGGAACTGTTGTGTAATGTGAAATACAACTCTGTGCAGCCTTTAACCTGTCTTGCAGAATTGGCTTCGTCTTTTATCTGAAGACGAATTTACAGATACTGAGGTTTCCCAACTTGTGGCTCAAACACAGCATCAGCAAAGCAATAAAACATCTTACTTTTTAGTGGTGAGGGGGATAAGGCAGGGGTCTCGTGATGCCCCACACTTACCATATAGCTGAGGATGATCAAGAACTCAATCCTCCTGCCTCCACATCCCGAGTGTTGGGATCACAAGCATATGCTGCCAAGTCTGGCTCAAAACTGGGATCTTTTGAAAATACCCTTGTGCTGTCTCCCTATTTCTCTCATCTTATGAAGGCACTGACCCTGCAGCATTCATGCTCTACCCATGACCTCACGTTAATGCTGTAGATCCTTTTGCTGATGCTGTCACATTGAACTTCAGTGTGGTTTAGGGAATAGGTACAATTCAGACTTCAAATCCTTCCCTGTGCAAAGCAGCAGTCTGTGGCTTAAGGAACCTAAATAATTTTTCTATCTCCACTTTACCAGGGTTCCAGAAGGCCCACTTGTGTGTGTACAGAGAGAAGTGTTCGTTAGTGTCTTACTCTAGGAAGGGAGTTCACGTTTTCAAATAAGATCTTACTTTTATGTTTATTTATATTTTTTTTGGCTTTGAGACAGACACCCTATGTAGTCTATACTGCCTCAGACTTTCCGTCCTCTTGTCTCTTGAGTACAGGTATGCTCAGTAAAATAGTGTCTGACTCCCACGATTAGCTGTCTGCACTAAAACTGAATCAATTGGGGAACAAAAACTACACTTATAGAGCTTTCTTTTAAGCTCAAGAAAACACCGTGTGAAATTCTATCCTGTGAAAGGAGGGGAAAAGGGGAATATTTTTCAGGATTTTCTATTTATCAAAGCCATTCTTTAACAATATTACTCTATGGGACTTGAATGCAAAATAGATTCTCAAATACATAGTATATAAATGATAATTCTCGTGTCAGTCATAAATTGACTGACTGGAGGAGTAGCCTGCTGGGCTCTTATAATTCCCAGGAACTACGTAATAGTATAAATCAGTCACCTAAAAAGCTGATGATTTAATAAGCCAAAAGGCCATTTCTGGTAGCAAATGGGAAGAGGAACATTCTCTTAGGGTGAAATTAAGCTGATGTCCCAAAGGAACAAGGCGCATTGCTTCCCTTTTATGTTTCCTGTCACTGCTAATGAATACGTTAAAAGTTCTTAACTCCATTGCAGTGCGTGAGTGCAGGCCCGTGTGCCACAGACCATGTGTAGAGGCCCCAGGACAACTTTCTGGAGTGGGCTCTCCCTTTCCACCCTCACCTGGGTTCTGATTGAATGCAGGAGGTCTTCACTTGTACTTGCTGAGCCATCTCAACAACTTCCTGAGTAGTCTTTAAGAATAAAATGTAACAAAAATAAATAAATAAATAAATAAATAAATAACTGCTGGCTTTATCTACCCAATCTTAGAAAGCAGTTTGAAGAAATGGCCTCTTACTACAAGTTACCGGTGCAGGAGTTTGCTAGACAAGTAATCAGCACCACATCTGAAGAGCGGCAGAGAATGCTCAGGGACTTCTACAGTTTTCAGCACCCAGAGGTGAAGGGGTTCTTTGTGAATTCTGCTTCGGAGTTGATCAGACGTGTTCATAAGGAAAAAGAGAGAGTCAAGAATAAAGCCAAAGAAAAAGAATCTCTTTTGGAAGAAAGGCCCTCAAATGATAATACTTTGTCATGCAATGATTCTGCCAACAAAATGTCTCAAGCTTACAACCCAAAACTATGTAAAGGAAAGTCAGTCAGATTTCATAATCACGGTTCCCATGAAGAAGAGACATTTTCTAGTGTTGCAAAAATTAAGAAACCCTCTGTCAGCTTCACTCAAGAGATTGATGACCACATACCCAAGAGCACCATGACACTCTTCTGTCCAAACAGCAAGTCTGAAACCCCGGAGACAGAGCTAGAAAATTCTCCAGGACACCAGCAGGACCTCACAGGAGCATGCAGCTCAAGAAACAGACCGCTTTCCAAGCTGGGAAACACAGGGGTAGAAAACCCAGTGTCAGAACGCACTCCCGTGGAAGGCTTGCTTGGTGACACCTCTATTCTTAATGACCTCTTTAAGAACCATGGGGAAGGTCCCACACAGCTGCCAAAAGAGGTTCTTTCAGGGCCTGTGGCCAAAGCAAGGCAGAGACCGAAAGATTTCTGGGACATCTTGAATGAGCAGAACGATGACAGCCTCAGCAAACTCACTGACTTGGCAGTGATCGAGACTCTGTGTACAAAAGCACCCCTCTCCACAGCCTCCAAAAGGAAAGACGAGCTGGAGGCTTCCCTGTGGAAAGCAAATGAGAAGTTTCTGTGGAAGACATTTAACTCTGATGCTGGTGAAAGCACGGCCAGTGCAGAGAGAGAGTAGAACATGGATGTGCCATTAAGTTAATATATTGGTGAGCTGCCAGCCCTGTTCATGGTACTGTTGTTTGAAGATGTGCTTATTAAAGTATTGCTTTAGTGTAATTTTAAGAGTCTAAAATGTTGTCATGGGTTTTCTTTCCTTAATATACGTTTTAGTCATTAATGCCCAATTTATACAGTTCTGGAGATGAAGTCCAGGACTTCATATATGCCAGCAGGCACTCCAGCCAACTCAGCTACATCTCCTGCCCCTGATTCAGTCTTTGAACAAGTGTGATTATGTCCTTTTGGAAGCCCCTGTGATCCATATGATGCTGTGGCCTCACATGAGTGACTTGCACTGTGTTTCCCCGCTCCTCATCTGAAAGCTCACAGGATTGAGCCCGATTAACCTAACTAACCTTCCACTTTTGAACTCTTCCAGAATGTCCCAAATCAAGTGGCAGTCACTGCACTCTCCTCACTGGCAATGGAAAGTTATTTTTTTTCCTTCTTCCTTGGGATTATGTTCTAGTAGTATTGAATTGTTTTAGATAAAAGTTGTAATTAGGGATGAATATATGTAATATGTTAAAACGGTAAGTTTATAACCACTCAGAGTCGTGTGTAAGTTTGTGAGCTGTGGTGCTAGAGTAATGGGATTGTTACCGTTGGCCAGAGTACCGAACAAAGCCTTAACTTTTCCTATTACTTTGATTTAGTAAATATAAATAAAGCTTTGTATTTTAACTTTGTATTTCTTAAGTGGAAGGAAATGAATAGACATTTGATTTTTAATTGAAATCTCTTTCATTGAATTTAACATGTGGTTTACACACTCTGAAATGTGCTCATTGTTGGATTTATTTGCTTAGTGGCATTCTCTCATCTGCTGTGGTCTGTGATAGGTGCTTGACTGTTTAGGCGACAGCTACAGGCGAAGGCACGGAGGTCCTGTCCATGAAGCATTGTGTCTGTCTGGCCCCTGGTTCTGTGACTGGCGCATTGAAGGTGTCCACATTCAGCTAAGCTTGCAGGACTTGTCAGGAGCTCTCCATCCAGAAAATAGCAGGTTCTGCAGATTCCCCCCGCCCCCGTAGAGGGGGGTGTTTTAAAATTCTCCTATTACTTTGTTCCGTTATTATATGAACTTTCATGAACCTGTTACAATGTTGGAACACAGTATTTGAGGCAACTTGAATCTGTGTTCCACAGCCTTGGTCAATCATACTTGGCAAGGCCATTCATACTTGGCTGGGGCAGGGCTGGGGGGGGGGGGTGGGAGGTAAGTTAAGAGTTTTATTTGCATGGGCAGAAACCAGTCCCAGTGAAGGCTGCCCTCCCTACTGAAACAAGAAGAAACAGGCTCCCAAAGGCTTCTCCAGTCCCTGGTGGCCTCTAGTAGAGCAGGAGCAGGCATTGGATTAGTCAGACTAAGAACTATTGACAGTTTAACTTCGTGGATACTTGGGCGGGGGTGACACCCTGGTTGCCGGGTAAATCAGAATCATCCAGGGATGGGCCTGCCTCTCAGAAAGTGGCTGACCTTCCCAGGCCTTTTCCTTTCTGCCTGCAGCAGGATGGATCACAGCCAAGGAGCTTGGCACCACCCTTCGGGCAAACTGCAGACCCTGTGGACCCCAAATGAGTACTTCTGTGTACTTCAGGTAGCTGTCAACTTCCACCAAGGGGACCACAAACCCTGAGCGGTGGTCTACACAGATGCACTCGTGAGAGTGTCATGACAGAAACTGCCCTGGGGAAGAAATGCAAATGGAATTAGGCTCTGGAGGCATCCATGGAAAAATCCGATGCTCAAGTCAGTTGGGGGCGCGTTATCTACTCCCAACCGCAAGCCAGGCGGGCATCCTGCATCCCTCACAGAGTGACGCCTTGGACGGTCCAGCTTTGGGGGTGCAGGGAGCTTGAAAAGCCCAGTCCTCAAAGCGGGGGACGGTACACGTCTGCGATCCTGTGGGGTCCCCATAGTATCCTGGCAGGAGAGTGAGGAGTCGAGGGTCTAAGTGGGGATATCCACAGGCTTTAGGCGGGAGCAGGTGGGGACCCCCGCGGGGCACAGCTTGGTGCAGTGGGCTGGGTGAGCGGACCTCAGGCGGAGAGGTCCCGCCCCCTGGAGGCCCGAGGCGGTGGTTTCTGCTGTCTAAATCCCTCAACTGATCTCTGGTGCAGAGAGTCTTGGGGAGTCGCCGAGCGGAGGCGCCCCCTCTCTGCAAGCACCTAGACAGAGCTGCAGAGCGAGGAAGGAAGTGGGAAGCTGCCAGGATGGATCTGGCGGATTCCAGGAGCAGCAACAGCATGAGCGAGCCAGTGCCCTGGGGACTCGGCCAGGCACGCCCCTCAAACACACGGCAGGCCCGCCCGCCCAGGAGGAAATCAGACTTAGCACCTTGGCGAACTCTACCTAGATTCCCCAGCCAGCTGCCCCAGGAAGCGACCCCCCACGTCCAGAAGTGCTCCCCAGCCCGTGCACGCCCTGCGCTGGCTGGACCTCCAGTCCTTGGCCACACACCCCCTAGGACAAGCCCTGCTGCTGCCCTCCCACCTCCCCCAAAGCCAGTGCCTTCTGCCAAGCCTCCATTCCCAACCTGTTATCACATCCTGGAGAGAATGTCTCTGAAATATTTCCTGAATCCCACTGCCAAGAACCTCGAGTTTCCGTCCCTCCACCTCCCATCTGGATGCCTGCAGACTTCTCCCTGGGTTCCCAGGCTTCGGCCTCCTCCCTCTCTAATCCATTTTCCACACCACATCCCCAAAGCCTGTTGAAACACAGGGACCTCGGCTGTAGTAAACCTCTCATTTCCTCTGTTAGGGAGGGTTAAAGGGATTGGGCTGAGGAATAACTACATCAGTTCACATTTACTGAGCATTTACTGTGTCGTGTGTTTAACATCTCAAGCGGTTTGCACGTTTAATCTGCCGAGCGGCTCGCCTGGGCAGGTGTCACCTGTTTTATTGAGGAAGAAACTGAGGCACGGAACCACGCAGTCCTGCATCCTGCATCGGCAACAGCTGCTCCGACTATGTTTCTCCTCTACCTGAGGTTCTCCTGGAAGCCACCACCATCCCGAGTGGAAGGACCTGCCGCAGAAAGCTGTGTCCCGGGAACAGATGCACTCTGGGTCTGGTCACTAAGTGCACCAGGCAGGTCAAAGTCAGGTCGGATTTGCTTTGGTATACTTCCCAGCCTTCCCCCCCTTGTGTTTACACCGGCCTTTAATGGATTAGAAGTCCGAGTCAGGCTAGCGCCACCCCAGCATTTGGCCTCTGAGCCCTGGAGTGCCCACCTCTCACCCAGGCCATCACATTGTTCTTGACTGGCAGTGTGTCCAGGAGACAGAACCGACAGACCGAGCCTCTCTTCTTCTGTGCCTCCTTCCAACACAAGCTCTTCAGAACCCTGATACCCCGTGCTCTTGCATCCACGCCTGACAGTCTCTGCAAGAGTCCTAATTTTCATTGTTCTGGGAGGAGTGGGATTCCTGTCTTTAAATTGTGGCTGAGAAATCTAGAATCAATAGTGGGCCTTTCCAGCCCTCCCCCAACTCCCCCTGCCCCAAAATGATATTACTGAGACCCTGGCCCTGTTTTTCTGCCTAGGAGTTAACAAGTATTCTATACCCAGCCTGACCCTCACCCTTCTCTCTTGGGTAACAGTGAGGAGGAGACCTTGATTTGCTAGCTGAGTGTGCCTACTTCTGTGCACCTACCTATTAGATGTAATGGTTCGTGCTTGGGTGTAGCACGAAAAATAAAAGACCCAGAGACTGATATCGGGGTTCAAGCTTCAAGCTGAAGATCAGAAAAGCAGAGCAGCTGGGCACCAGCTTTTTAACTCTACCTCGGAATGAAAGGCGATCCTGGCTCCACCACCAAACCTTATACTGCTGCTTCTCCTCATCATCCCTGGAGAATCCTAAGACTTCAGTGTCTTCCTATCCTCAGTGTGACTGGAAAATGAATCCCAGATACTGACTACTGAAGACTCTGCTCCTAACTTTTATTCCCCTCTAATGCTGGCGTTAAAGGCATGTGATCCCAGATGCTGAGATCATCTTTGTGTGAGCTGTTTCTCTTTAGGCCTGGATCAATCATGTGCAGATCTGGGCGGCCTTGGACTCACAGAGATCCATCTACCTCTGAATCTTGAGTCCTAGGATTAAAGGTGTGTACCACCACCTCCCAGCTTTGCTGGGATTCAAGGAAGGGGTGCATCACTGCTGCTTGATCTCTATAGCTTGAGGCTGGCTCTGCTTTTCTGAATCCTCAGTCAAGCTTTAATAAATCATAAATAATATATCACCACACCTGGGCTTGCATATGTGACTGTTTGCAGCTTTCTGAAATTTTAATTCCTTTTCCTGTATAGATCCATAATAGGACAAAAACTTAGTTTCCTTAAGGGGGCAAGGACTATATCATCCTGTCATTGCTCACCATTCTGGTAGCTTTTAATGAAAGGATCTCATGTATCCCAGGTTGGCCTCAGACTCACCGTGTAAGTGAGAATGATCTCCAACTCTTGGTCCTCCAGTTACTAGAGGGTACAGGACTGTGTCACCATGCCCAGCCAATCACATGGTTGGTTATAAGCATGCTTTCCTGTCAACCATGTTTTCAGTGCTTTCTGTGTTAAACATCAGATACATGCCAAAAACACGGTGCTGTTTCAGAATGGAGTACTGAGTCTCACCCCACCCCTGGCACTGTTCCTCCTTTCTACCTGACCAGCAACCAGTTCCCACATGGAAACTAGAAAGACACTGGTGGCATCTGTAATGGACTTAGGCATTATGCTGGCCTGCCCCTGTCACCTGGCAGAACGCACTCAGGCAGGACCCTGGTCAGCCCAAGGTTCCATGACTGCATAGTCTGCACACAGGTACAAAGGACCCCTTTAAAAGACAGACTCCAGACCACTTAGGCTCTCTTTCTTACTGTTCCCCTGGGGCAGACAGGACTTTTCCCATCTCCCTCTTCTGTCCTCTCTCTGTCTCTGTGTCTCCTTACCTCTTTCCTCCTCCCCCCCCCTTTCCTTTCTAATAAAACTACTCACTAAGCTCTGTCTGCCTGACATGTTTGTCCCTCCACGTCACCTGCCTTGGAATCTGCCAAGGTCCCTCACACAAGGTCCCCCCTCGTGCCTTTATCATAACAGCATCTAGCCATAACTCAAGGCTGCCTTGGATCTGGGCAATACTGGGAGGAGCAACAGGCCTGTGATCTTGATGGCAAAAGAGAGAATGTAGCTTTGAGAGCCGCAAGGTTACAGGATGCCTGCTTACAAATCTGTCCAGGGAAAGAGTGGGCTGTGTGGCTGGGGAAGAGAGTTGCTGTAAGGTATGTGATCTGACATGTCTGTAGGGTTCCTGTCCATTGATATCTTGTATCAGCATGTGCCTGTGGGAAATGGCTTGAATCTCAGGCCCACTTAGTGGTTTGACCTTAGTCCCTTGGCTGATCTCAGGGTGCCTCATGCTCAGTGTGTCTGGAGCAGGTATCTTCATCATCAGACACCAAGTCAGCCCTCCTCATCCTCCTTCCTTAACTCCTGACTCAGTTAGAGACAGAAACATCTGTCCTTGGCCAGATTTCCAAATCTAAGCGCCATGTTTCTTAATTGGATGTATCCATTTTTCTCACCAGTGGCTCTTCTCAGGAAGCTCGTCAGTCCTTGGACTTTCACCCTTTAATCTGACCCCCTGCCTGTCCAAAGTTCCACCCACTGT